GATAGCAGTCCTATATTAAAAATTTATCTAAAAAAGCAGTCTTCAGAAATGTAATTAGGTAGTTCAAATTCTGGTCATACACTTAAGCACACTCTAAGGTAAAAGAAGCAGTTTTAATTGAAAGAGAAGGAAAATATAACTATGAATAATACTTTTAATCTATGGCTTTTTGACTATTATTTACTGGATATTGATGAACATACTTGATTTCAGATTCTTCTTAATTCTGACTCTTAATTATTCTCTTAATCATTCTATTATTGCCATTTGAATTTTACATATTTTGGTAGACTTCCATGAAAATTGGTAGCAGCCACAATTATATACATATATATTTTTTATTAGACTGAGAATAGGCCTTTAATACATCTTGGATCATAAACATGAAGCATTTCCTGCAAACATATAGCTATAATGTTAATAGCTAGTGTCTTCTTTGGTTTCAGACAGTCCTGATTGAAGACATATTGAAACTCCCAGGAGGCATTAGGAATTTCCATTTCAAGAAGTAGAGCTAATAAAGGCAAACTTGAATTATCCTAATAGTTATTCAGTTTTTGCTTGGTAGCTTTCAAAGTGGCTTGCCACTTTATAGAGCTGGGAAAGACGAACAGATGGCAAACCTGTGAGTTGCAACCTCTGCTTTTGCCCTCAGTGTTACTACATGGGTCACTGTATTAGTGTGTAAAGCCTTGTCCCCAAGGCTTAACCCCTGGGAATTCTGTGGTCCTACTAATTAGAAGTTGACCATCTTTGTGTCTAAGCCCACTATGAGCCTTTTTTATTAAAGGGCATATTATGATAACCTTAGACATCAACTAGTTCTGGTGATGTCCTTTCTGAAAAGAATAATCGTGATAAGTGAAAAAATAAGCTCCGTGAAAGGACTACGCTGAAGTAAAATAGCCACTAGAGTTAGTAACCTTTTACTGACTGTAGTGGCTATTTTCTTACAGGTTACTAGAGGCCTGGTACATGAATTCGTGCATGAGTGGGGTCCCTTGGCCTGGCCAGCAATCAGAGCAATTGGGGCCTTCTTACCCAGTCCCGATCAGGGCGGCCAGCCCAGGGGGCAGGACCACGGGAGATTGAAGGTGGGAGTGCACTGACCACCAGGGGGCAGCTCCTGCATTGAGCATCTGCCCCCTGGTGGTCAGTGTGCATCATAGCGACTGGTCATTTAATCCACCGGTCGTTCTGTTGACCAGTCGTAACGGTCACTTAGGCTTTTATATATACAGATTGTTTCATATGTCCATTGAAAATAATTTTATTTGTGCTACTAAAACAAATTGATAAAAAGATGTGAAATTCTAAATTTTTCATGTGAAGGGGAGAATTAATAGACTATGAAAAATATTAATTCATGTATTTATTTTCTTTATGGATATTCTAGACCAAGGTCTCATTAAACCTTTAAAATGACATAAAACAAGTAATTCTATGCTAGACCTCCAGGAAGTTATCAGTTGCTTTACAAAAACTATATTGTGAACAGTTTCTACATTTGATATCTTTGAAAGTTGAACCCACTGGGGGGTGGGGCCATTTGTTAATAAAAGTACAAGGAAAAGTATTAGTGTGGATCTATTTCATGGAATCCTAGAATTAGGAGGGCCTTAGAGATAATCTAACCTAATTTTTTCATTATTTTAGATGAGGAAACTGATAGCCAGAGAGGCTTAGTGACCTGCTGAAGGTCACACATTAGTAGAACTGGGGTTTCATTACAGACCTCTGTAACCTATGCATGTATCTTGAAATCAATATTAATATAAAACTGAGATTCTGGGTATCTGCCATATCACGAAACCATTTTATTTAATATGGTATTCATTAAGTGTAGGTTTCTCTCCCTTGTTAGTGCATAGTCTCTCTGTTTCGTTCTGCAGGCATACAAGTGAATTTTTGCAGTTAAAACCTTTTAGAGTAATATAAGTGTCAGCAACTCTGTGTCTTTGTATCTATTGCAGAGCCTTTCAAATCAGGGAAAGTGGCACCTAAGTTTGTGTGTGCAGATGGGAAGTAACGGGTAATGAAATTGCACTTGTGGAATAGAGTTCTGAGTCAGGAGTGGCTCTGGGAACTGAAGTTTATTGACAAACTGTTTTCTAAAGCTAAGTACCCAATATACTCTTCAGCCAGAAATGCCTACAAGATCTTGGACATGATCTTGAAATATGTAGGAGACAAAACAGAAAGCATTTTTCTACCTTTATGTAAAATTATAATGCATGAAATACTAGAAATAATGGAATTCTTCTCCATTTTTTTCAGATTGTACAATTTAACTTGCTGGTGCAGGGGTCCTCAAACTACGGCCCATGGGCCACATGCGGCCCGCCAAAAACATTTATCCGGCCCGCCGGGTGTTTTTGCCGCCGCTGTGTGTATAGGAATTTGTTCATAGTTTTTTTTTTAAACTATAGTCCAGCCCTCCAACGGTCTGAGGGACAGTGAACTGGCCCCCTGTTTAAAAAGTTTGAGGACCCCTGTGCTGGTGGGATACATCCACTATATACACAGTTTGTTTTTAAGGCAAAAGTTTCAAGAGACTCTAGAACTCTTGAGTTAACTTTTAAAAACAGTGTCCTTGTGAGTAAAATCCCAATCTAAGAAAATTTGGATTCCACTACTGTCTCCTCCCCCACCCCCAACCCCACCCCGAGTTGCTAGGAATATAGTAGGCACTTGATTCGTGCTTATTTGAATCTTATTTGAATTCACGGTGCTCTTGTTACCATTGTGCATGTTTCAGACTTCTGAGTTGCAAGTTGGACGAAGACCCATTCCTTGCCTGCTCTTGTAAGGTGCTTTAGAAAGTAGAACCATTATAGAACCAATGCATGTTCATGTCATAAAAAGGAAACTAGTCTTGGTCAGTATGTGCTTGGTTCCTTAGGGTACTGAACGCTGTGGCCACTTAAGCAAGCCCATGTAGTTGTCCTCTGCAGCAGAAACAGTCTGTTCCACACTAGGAGTTAATTCTTTTTCTTCCCTTTGTTATAATTGCTCTGTCAACCACTTTCACCTCACCAAAAGGAAATCTTTGAACTGCTTTTAAAAGAACTACCATGCTTAACTTGTGCAGTTACCAAATCATGCTTTTCCCCTTTTTATCATTAAAATTCTCTAAGGAACATTGGTCTTAAATTTACAGCAGCATCTATTCATTCAAATTAATAGATACAGTTACACTAACATACAATATTGAATTATAACAATAAAACCTAACATTTGATTGAATGTCTGCTATGTGCCAAAGGATTAAAGTTCAGAACTAAATTTATTTCGGGGACAAGGGTGTGAATTTTGATAGTGAAACAGAACTGATAATGTAATTGTGAATTTGTTAGAATGTTGTATATTTGGCTGTGTTGCGTGGTTTCTCCTGGTGAGATCATATAATTGTGGTGTTTGGCAGCTCTTCTTTCATTACCTGCCAGATAGGTTTATATTAGCCTCCATAAGTCATTATACCTACATTTGTAGAGCCTTAATTCTTTGAATCAATGTGAATCTTTTTAAATGGTGGCATACTATCAATCATTGTAAGTATAGTGATATGAGGTCTAAATGTTGCGACAATTCATGTTTTTAAAAGGGAAGTTATTACTTTTTATATCTTGTTACAAAATTTCAATTTCTAACAAAAGTATTCAGTGTTTATATGTTTATGGTGCTATACAAATCAAATGGGTCTTTTAAGAACTTAAAATCTAGGAGGGTGGGGGGAGGATGAGAGGGTAAAGGGGGTCAAGTATATGGTGATGGAGGGAGACTAGACTTAAGTGTTGAGCACACATAGAATATACAGATGATGTGTTATACAGTTGTACACCTGAAACTTATATAATGTTATTGACCAATGTTACTCCAATAAATTTAATTTAAAAAATCTAAAGTATCTAAAGGGATGATTATTATGAAACTTTTTAAAATATATATATTTTATTGGTTTTTTTACAGAGAGGAAGGGAGAGGGATAGAGAGTTAGAAACATCGATGAGAGAGGAACATCAATCAGCTGCCTCCTGCACGCCCCCTATTGGGAATGTGCCCGCAGCCAAGGTACATGCCCTTGACCGGAACTGAACCTGGGACCCTTGAGTCCGCAGGCCGATGCTCTATCCACTGAGCCAAACCGGTTAGGGCTATTATTAAACTTTTAAAAAAATTTACATGTGTATTAAACAAACCCTAGATATTGGGCAAATAGCAAAAAATGTTTAGACAAATGAATTTCTCTGTGAGTACAACCAGGAAGAGAGAATTTGGCTATGGGCTCAGAGAAACAAATTTTAGCATTTGCTTTTTGGGGAAAATCATTTTATGTTTTACTTGATAAGAAGAGGGACATCCAAGTAAGAGTCGGCATGTATCAAAATTCTTGAAGAGTTAATCCAACATAAATATAAAGAAGTGTACATGATTTATTTGAAATCTCTTTCAGGATTTCATTTCATTTATTTTTAATAGTTTCCTAGTCCTTTCCTTAGACCAGTGGTTCTCAACCTTCTGGCCCTTTAAATACAGGTCCTCATGTTGTGATCCAACCATAAAATTATTTTTGTTGCTACTCCATAACTGTAATGTTGCTACTGTTATGAATCGTAATGTAAATATCTGATATGCAGGATGGTCTTAGGCGACCCCTGTGAAAGGGTCGTTCAACCGCCAAAGGGGTCGCGACCCACAGGTTGAGAACCGCTGCCTTAGACTGTGGGTCAAAAAGTATTGCCCTTTAGAAATCATCTCGTTCCATAATATTGCTGTATTTGGGGGAACATAATATATTAAGATATAAGAGTATAGAACTATTTTTTTTTTTTTAGGAGGAGGAAAGGGACTAAGCTATGGAATGGGTCTGAAACAAAGCTAATAAACTTGGATTGAATTTATTTGGGTAATTAAAAGTACACTGAATCTAATGAGACCTGGGACTTGGTTTTTCTAAAATGGGTTGCTCACTACTTTCTCTTCTCCTCTACTTCCCACAGGAAACCAGTTTCCTCCAGTGGCAGCACAGGACCTGCCTTGTGTTTTTAAGGCTGGCTACCTTGAAAAACGCAGAAAAGGTAAACTAAGACTCCGATGAAAAATCTGAAAACGGTTTTATCCTTGGATAAAAGATGCTTGCAGTGTACATGTGGAGCCAGTGTTCTCGTTAGGTGATTGAAGAGTTTTAAGACTCTAAGAAAAATCTGGATGACATTATCCAAACCAAAAAGTACAGCTTTTAGCTTTAAATAATTTTTATAACCAACATTTGCTAGGTTTTTAGTTATCAACCCCAGTTATTTGTAATGATTCAGGAGCTGTCTCCTGCCTGTCAGAGGAAGGCGCGGGCCATGACTGTAATCTCAGGGATGGGATTTCTCACCACTGTCCGACCACCAAGCAGCAGGCTCTCCTGCGCCTCACCTGGCATACACTGCGCCTGCTGTGGTCCGGCCCAGCCTGGCCTGTTTTCTACCATTTTCTGTTGCTCATTCAGTGTTCCTCTCCATTGGCTATGATCATGGGGAGTTGACCATATGGTCTCACTCTGTCAACACCAATATATAATGGAAATGAAATACGGAGGAGGTGTGATGATACGGGAAATGAAAAGCAGAAAGTCTCTTCATTCCCATCCTGCTTATCTCTCAGGGACTCCCTTTGGGCCTTTCTATTTATATTCCATTTGCTTTCCTTAGCTTTCTTAGCCAACTTTTAAAGCTGAAAGAGACACTAGAAATAATCTAGTCAGCTCCTCCCCTTCCTTTTCATAACAGATGAGAAAATGAGACCCAGATGAATCCATTATCTGCAGGCTATGTAGTCAAATGCTGTGTGGACCGTCCCCAGCAGGAAAGTTGGTTAGCGTCCTGTTGACCCCATAAACGTGGCAGCTCCAGCTCTGCCTCACTTTATTCCTTTTAGCTTTGTTTTTGTCTCTTGAAAAGAAAATACAAATGACTTAGTCCTAGAATTTTAGAGCTAAGCAGGAACCTTAGAAATCACACTAACGAACATATCCTTTTACAATAAAGAACTGCCCGGCTGGCGTGGCTCAATGGCTGAGCACTGAACTATGAACAGGAGGTCAGGGTTCGATTCCCAGACAGGGCGCATGCCCAGGTTGTGGGCTCAGTCCCCAGTAGGGGCCATGCAGGAGGCAGACAATCAGTGGTTCTCTCTCATCATTGATGTTTCTCTCTCTCTCTCCCTCTCCCTTCCTCTTGAAATCAATAAAAGAAATACATTTTTAAAAAGAACTGGTGTTATGTTTACATATGTTATGTATATTATCTAAACTGTTTCCTTTCCCCCTTTATTGTAGATCACAGCTTTCTGGGATTTGAATGGCAGAAACGGTGGTGTGCTCTCAGTAAAGGAGTGTTCTATTACTATGGAAGTGACAAAGGTAGTATTGTTGTTCAGTTATCTACACTTCTATTGCATGAGGGCTTGGGAGCTATGGTTCACGGCCCCCCCCCCCCCGCCTTTTTTTCTGATACAGAGTAAACTGAAAACAGATGGAGAAAAAATAACTGAGAACTTTAATAATTATAGTCTAAGACTGATTTATAATTCTTTTTCATTATTTGACAAATTCTCCAAATTCCAGAATGCTCTAAAAGTTAATAAAATTATGTTTTATTGAATTAGCAGAGAGAGTAAAATAACTCTCTATGTGGCCTTTCACCTTAGGAAATATTTGTCATCCAAGGTACAGTTGTAGAATCTCTGGAGAAGTTAAGACCATTAGGATTGTGAGAGTTTAGCTATTTAAGCACTTCAGCTATATTAACTTGTCTGTGTGGTAAGGTACTATTATTAGTCCCATTTATTTTACTGTTTGAAAAACTGAGAACAGAGAGGTTAAGTAACTTGTTCATGGTCACAGAGCAGGTAAATGGCAGATCTGGGCTTTGAACCTAGCCATAATGGTTAGAGTGCGTACTATTAACCATTATTGTCACTATATTAATTTAGAAACAATAAGATATACCTTATAACTTCATTTGCTAATTAACAAATCTCTTAGTCATAATTTACATAATTTTAAGTTCATTATTTGAACAAATAAAGTCATAAAATATTGAAATTTAAACAGTATAAGTTTTTATTTTTCCTAGGAAAAGAAGGTCAGAAGTTGAATATTATAGAGTAAGGGTCATACAGAAATAGCTAACATTCATTTCCATAAAGGACACTTAAGGAGAAAAGAGACATAAAAGTTTAATATCACTGAATAGAAGCTTTCCCATGGAATTCTTATCAGTGTTGTCACTTGTGTTGTTTGGAAATTTATGTTTTATTTGACATTATTTGCATATTTTAGTTTTTTTCTTTTTATAATACTAGAGGCCTGGTGCACGAAATTCTTGCATGGGTAGTGTCCCTAGGCCTGGCTGGCAATCAGGACCCATTGGGGCCTTCAGGCTGCTGGCTGGGGCCTGCCTTCGTTCCATGCCGCCCCCTGGTGGTCAGCGCACATAATAGCGAGCAATCGAACTCCTGGTCTCCTGGTCAAACTCCCAAAGTGACACTTTGTATATTAGCCTTTTAAATATATAGATTAGGCAGAAATGATGAGTCTATTTCAAATAAATTTGAAATACATGGATGATTCTAGAAGTTGATCTCACCTTTTGACTAATAGAATTAACAAATTAAGAATTAATTTAGTTGGTAGTTTACATTCTGTCAATAATTTATATGTTCAAATGTAATAATGCCATCAATGGAATATAAACTATAAATAACTATTAACAGGCAACCTTCTTTCTTCTGCTAAGGGAAGTAGGTGATTTTGTTCAAAAATTTAGAGCCCAAATTTAGTTGATTATCATACGTCATTTACGTGCGTTACTATTATAGAAATACTAGAGGCCCAATGCACAAAATTCGTACAAGGGACTTGGCCCTCGCAGCTGCGGCGGCTTGCCTCGGACCTCGCAGCCCCAGCTTTGTCTGGAAGGTCGTCCGGCTGTCTGGTCTAATTAGCATATTACGCTTCTATTATTATAGATAATTTTGTACAGCATCATGAATTGAGATTGAGATCTTACTTTTTTTATAAAGAAATATCCTCGATTTTATAAGACCAGAGGAGGGAGGTTGCAACACCTCATGGTTTGGTTCAGTTAGGCTTCTCATTTCTAATTTCTTTCACAATCAATGAATACTAATGTCTGTTTCCTCCACCCAGTCCTAACTGGTATATACCAACTGTTAGGGCAGGGATTCACCAGTTTCACAAAAACCTCAGGAATGTTTATATTTATTTCAAAGGCTAATGTTCATTAAATAAATTCGAGGGCTTTTTTGGGTGGTGGTGGGGATATTAGTTAAATTTCCATATCTAGTCTTATTTGTTGAAACCTTTTGGTAACAACATTCTTTGTAATTTGTGTTTTTAACTACTTTGTGACCCATTTAGCCAGCTGTACCACCATTGCTTTTAAAAAATTATTATTCCAGCATTCCTTTCTTATGTGGATGCGTGAAGATCTGGTTTATATTTCTTTAAATTCTTCCCTGTCTGTTACTATGAAGCCTCCTGTTTCCATGGAGATTTCAAATCTGTTTTTAGTGGTTCTTTTCTCTGTGGCTGCTTCCTTTGGAATTCTTAGCCAGTTCTTTTCCTTTTAGGGACTTGGGGGAGGGAGAATCTATCTTTAGACAGTTTTAATTGCTTGTTTGTCATGATCCTAATGTCCTTCCTTTGTATCTTTTTCTTTCCAGGAAAATGTATGTGTCATATGAATTTTTTTTCTCTCATGTGAAATTGGGTAACTGATTTGTACAGTCTTGTTTACCGTTTGTGTGAACCATTTACCTAAACTTGGGAAAGAACTATGTAGATATATGAGAACTATAATCCTCCAACTAAGTAGGATTTAGATAAATGGATTAGAGAGGCGCAGAAGGAGTTGATACACTCACTAGGTTAAACTGTACTTGGTTACTGCTTGACAGATACATTGTTCATATTTGCTAACATACTGTGTGCGCCAAAAACCATTTTGACCCATCAAGATAGTAATGGCTTAGAAAGAGTAGCTCCAGTCTCTAGGGTAAAAAATGCACTTACCTTTATATCCATAAATATTATTGGTATTTATTATTCATGGCCATTTGAGGCCCTTAAGTAATATATATATAGAGAGAGAGTACATATTTCATCATTTCATAAAATGGCATCCATCCTTTCATCTCCTTCCTCTTCCTTTGATTGTTCGAATCTCATTCATCAAAATTGTTTGATCCTAGATGCCGAGACTGCCATCAAGGTAGTCATTCATTCACTCATTCATTCATTTACTTATTTGATAAACATCTATTGGATACTAGGCACTGGGAATCCTAAGATAATCCTGCCTTAGAGGTACTCACAGTTTAAGTGAGAGGAAGCTGTGTGATTAGAAATGGGGGCTGGATGGATAAACTGATATTTCAACCAGGTGTAGTATGTGATTTAAATAAACTATCTTTGGATCACAAAGGAGGGGTGGCTAACTGCCTAGGGGAGCTAGGGAATACTTTCTAGTGGAGAGGACATTTGGCCTTAAATAATGAGGAGGAGTTTGTCAGGTGATGAAGGGTACAATGGGCATTCCAGGCAGGGGAACAGCAGAGATTGTGAGCTACAAAAAGCCTTGGATGAGATCAAAGAGATCAAAGCTGGAATCAAGGCAGAGCACAGAGTGAGTGAGGGGAGGGGGCACATACAAGAGCGGGTCAGGATCTGATTAAGCCTGAGGCTTTATGACCAGATCTGGTTTTTAGGAAGCAATTGCAATAGTGTTGTGGGGGTGGATTGGGTTGGATAGAGAACCGTCCACAGGATCATGTCGAAGGAGTTTGAACTAGAGAGGCAAGAGAGGTTGTCCCAGGGCTGCTGAGGGCCGACCTCGCTGGCTCCATGGTCATGCTTTGCCACAGCTTGGTTGTTATCAGCCTGCCTTCAGCGTCCTGTAAGTGATGGCTCATTGAGGAGCCGGTTGCAAACTCATGGTTTATTTTGGTTTTCCCTTTTTCTTTTTAACTTCCCTATGATCTTGAATCCGCATAATGAACCTTACTTATCTCTTCTCATGTTTGAAAGGGGAGTGGTTAGAAAAGAGAATATTACAAACTAACCACTCCCCTTTCAAACGTGAGAAGAGATAAGTAAGGTTCATTATGCGGATTAACCTTACTTTCCACTAAAGAGGTTTCGCTGCCACTACCCTCCACTTTCCAATTAAAGAAACTCTTAGTGCCATCCAGTATGTGGCAGCTGCAAGTAGCCTTGATCCTACCAAATCATCCTAAATGCATATCAAAAGTTATTTATTACACCAGGTGGCTATAACTTTTTTCAGTGTTGTCTCTTTTCTAATGACCAGAAGTCATTAGAAAGTTGGGCTTAATACAGATCATTTAAAATAAAACATTTAGGTTGACAAGGAAATAAAATTTTTATTGAAATTGACCTCTGCTCTCCCTTCTGCCACAACCTCACCATTGATAGGAAAAATAGGATATACCTTTTCAGTTTGGACAAAAATTATAAAGTGTCTTTTGATGTTGAAATAGCATCAAAGTTCTCTGTAAATATTTAAAAATATTGTTAAAGGATAGAGTGTATGTACAATCAGAAGTTCTGTTGTTTTATAATGACAACTTTAATAATATCCATAAAAGCTTTTCTTTTTCCCCTGACTTATTTGATAAGAGGCAAATTCCTGGGTCAAGGCACCAGCATGCTATAATTATATGATGAATATGTATAAAATGTGTAAATGAAATCAGATATTTAAAATTTATAATATAATTTTGTTTGTGTAAAGAAGGATAACACCTTTGTTATTCTTTAAGAGGGGAATAGTTAATTCTACTTTTTATCAGAATTATTGCAATTTTATAGGCTTTGAGGCCTTTGATATGCAAATATTAACTTTATAATTTATCGCAATAAATGTGAACTAAAAGGCCTTTATTTCTGCCTTTATATGTAGTTAAGAGACCTAGTAACAGAGAAATTAAAATGTACACCTGATGTTCGGTAGGATTTTATCAACATGTAGAGATATTCAGGTACAAATTAAGTCTCATGAAGGGTCTGATGATGACAAATCATGTTGGTTTGCAATAAACAGGACTCAGCTTGAATTAAAATATACCTACTTCCATATATAGATTGAAGATACATAGAGATTGAAGGTAGATATATTTTAAATCAAACTGTGCACTGCTAAAACTATTATGTAGATATAGATATATGGATGTTGCTGTACCTATCTGTGTATATATAGAGATAGATAGATACAGCAACCAGTAGACTTTCTTTGAACATCTGTGTGTCAGGTGTTATTAATACAAAGTGGCATAATACACTGGCTCAGAGGAATGGGCACAGAGGACCCATAAAAT